AGCAACCTCCACGGAAAGCTGGGTGGAACAGCTGCCAGCCAGTCGCTGAGCAGCACATTCCTGCAGTCTCTGGGAGTCCGTGCAAGCCCGTACCTGCTTGGGCACATGTGCAGTAGCTCTAATTGCTCCAGAAAATGCAAACAACTGGGTGTGATGCCAAACCCTTAGAAACTCTTGCAAAACAGAAGGAAAGAAAAGCTGTATGCACACCACACTGTCTCTGCAAATATGAACCTGCAGAGAGATGAAAGCTTGTCACCCTGCGATGAGTGCTTACATCAGCCAGGGTAGAAGACCAGCAGAAGGCTCGAACTAACCGAACCCTGGCCTTTGAAGGTTCGACCCATCATTTTCACGTCTGCATGTGTAACATTGTAAATGCACACGATTCTATTTCGTACTTAATCCTAGTGTAGACAAAAACAAATCAACGCTCCAAGGAATCTCCTGCCTTCTCTGCTGTACGCCGGTCTCTGCAGCCATCCAACACATGCATAACTCGGCACACAGCATAATGTCAGGCAAGCTGGAACAGATCTGTCAAAACGACAAAGTGTATACCAGCGGGGGCATTGAGGGTGGTCGCAGAGCCGTCGCGGGGGGGCCAGCAAAGGAAGTGTGGGAACCACTGCTGTACACCAACATGAGCACACACTTCACTACTGTACTTGAAGCCTTCATGGCAGTAAGCAGGGCAGCATTCCCCAGAGGGGGACGATCCAAACCCTCAGTATGTGACCCTGCGACCAGAGTACCTTTGATAAGCAGGAGCCTGAAACAGAAGAATTCCTGCCGAGCGTCAAACCTGCGCTGGATCCTCAGCTGTAATTATGCAACAGAGCTGCTTTGTGACCTCCGCAGTGAGAAGCCCCTGAATGGTATCTAAAGACATATTACCTGCATCATCTGCTGGCTTTGAGAGCGATTGTGCAGCTGCTGTGATGAAGCAGCCAAACTGCTGAATAACAAGACTAACAGGCCTCAGGACTGCAGTGGAAGCGGCACCAGGTGGGACTTTAGAGCTTTTGTCGACTGTAGTTTAGGACTGAAGGTAATTTGGGACCTTGTGACAATTATCTCTTCACTTTTACAGACACAAGTGCTGCTTTCTCTGCTGGGGACATGTTAGCTGTGGAAACAGGTTTGAAATATCCATACAGAGCATTTAGTTCGTCCTTGCCCAGCCTGTACAGCACACTGAAGGCTGTCTATCAGTCCTGCATCGAGTCAGCGGATCTAAGGCAGACTCTATTATTACTGTCAGTTTATCCTCTTTTCATTGTTTTGGTGTGGCGTCACACACAGGATCAGTTTCCCTGGATAGATCTGTTAGTTGGTAGACCATGCTCAGGCACACTTCCCTCTGTCCTGGTCTTTGCTGCTGTAGCTCCCCGACAGGTGGAAAATGTAAAAATATCATTTTTATTGAAAGGTGATTGGAAAGAAATTGAATTCTCAGCTGAAACTGTGTCGAAGCTTCTGACTCTTCCCCCTCGTTAGTGAGACTGAACAGTCACTGTGAATGGCCGAGTGCAGACGAGTGCATTCTGCTGATGGAAACTGACCCTGGATCAGAACAGTGATGTGGGGTGTATATTGTGTTGGATGTTTCTGTCGTACTTGAAACTCTGAGCCTTTGGTCGCACGGTTCTTATTCGTCTCTGATTCCTGACTGATGTTGTTTATCAGTCATTCATGGTCACATGGTCAGAGCTGACTGATGACCAGGTTCACCTGTTTGCAGTCAGACAGACGCAGTGATTGTTCATTCTTCTTCTGTGGTGGATGACCAGCAGCAGTGATGTTTCATCAGAAGATGGGGTCACCGTTATCCGTCCCACGCGTTGTCTGAGGCCTCTGGTGGTGGTTTCCTCTTCTCTTCCCTGAGGCCGAGCTTCCTTTGACCCTCTGGCAGCACTCACCACCTGCTTTGGGCTTTTTGTTGTTGCTGTGCGACCGTAGACAGGATGCTGTTCGTAGTCTACACTTTTTAAAGAAATTAGACTCGCAGGACGTAAATGTTTACCTCAGAAATATGTGCTCTCCAGTGGACCTGCGACCTTCTTCCACCTCTCACACTCACCCGACAGTGACTCACTCAAATGTGCGTCACTGTTGGCACAGTAAACAGTTTTTATGAGTCAGCTGCACAGCGACTCTGTTACAAGCTTCCATTAAGTTAACACGCCCGAGGTGTCCGAGGCTCAGTTGTTCCTGAAAATAGACGCCAGCGCTTTCCTTACCTGGTGCCAGGGGCGCTTCTAGGATCAGAGCTTTGGGTGCCGAGCACCCAGAGAGCTGCCCAGCCAGGCAAGTAACCTTTACTCGTCACGATGAGACGTCTTCCCCGTCTCTGTCAGTCCCTACATGTCTCCAGGTGTCCCGAGTTCCCTCTGACTGTGTCCTCGGTGCATTTAAACCTGTTCCTCTCTGTCCTCGTCGTCTGCTGTCCTCGTCTCCGCTATCAGGCATCATTATTTTACCATCTCTGTGCAAGTCTGCAAATTTCTTTATTAAATCATGAGATTCCTAAATTCATCAAGTCTCTCTGTGCCTGGGTCACAGAACATGACATCACTGTTTTCTACATTTGAACAATTTAATCCCACATGTGTGAAAGAAAAACACTTTTTTAAAGTCTGTAACAAAACCATCAAATCTGATCAAGGTTATTTAAACGCTGCTAAAGAAGAATGGACTGGAATAAAATGCATATCCTGACCTTCATTACTGGTTTATAATAATGAATGATGCTCACAGTGAGGAAGGAGTAAACTGAGTGCAGTTTATGGACAGATTCACTTTTAATGTGTGTGTTTAATATAATACAGACACATAAAAATGATCCTGATGGCTGCAAATCAAAGGTCCCCCTGATTTAAGTGTAGATGTGTGGAGTTCACAGCAGCACGTGTGGGGTGATACTGACACACTGGGGACAGACTGCAGCTGTGGTTGGATGGAAACCTGCAGGTCAGAGGTCACTGTACATGGTCTCGGATTACCTTTCTAAGAACTACAGCTGATTACATCAACTAGCAAAAATCTGCTTTTCCTCAAAATATTTTCACAATAAAAGAAAACAGTAAAGTTTCCCTGAAGTGCTGTAAGTTACAGGATCTCCTGTCAGATAACTGGAGAAGCCCTCTGTGCCAGGAGGGGCTGGATGGCCTCGCCCCTCCATGCAGTAATGTGCTGGGTCACTGGGGACCAGTATGGTGACCGGTACTGGCAATGCTGTGTTAGGAACGTCTGAAAGGTTGCATTGTACGTTGAGAAAAGTCATTTTTGCAACCCATAAATATACATATAAGACTTCTAAGAGCTGACTGTGGGAAACATCAGCCTAAATCTGGCTCTTTAAGGGAAATCCAAAGGCTTCATCCCCTCAGCTCGAGCAGGCTCTGTGCAGCACACGGTCTCACTTAGCTAGCTGCATTGTGACAGGTCATGTATTAAACTGCTTCCAGTCACACCTGCACACGAGAGCCTGGCAGCGTCTGCAGCTCCACCACGACATGAAGCCCGGTCATCATGAGCGCTGCTAAGGATCTGCCACTGGAGCAGACTGAGACAGCCGCACGATCGGCTCACTGACGGCGACTGTTTGTATCGCTCACGTTCTCATGGCGAGCCTGTGCGGGCTCCTCGCCGTGCACGCAGGAAATGTGCTGGAAATGCTTTGTGAAGAATGCTTTCCTTAGAGGAAGCCTTGTCTTTGTCCCCAAGCCTTCTTTCATTTGCAGCTCCTCCCCAGGCTGCTGGGCTCCTCGGGGTTACTCTCTGTGATACCAGCATGGGGCCTGTTGCTGTTTTGTTCTTTGCTAATGCATGGGGCAAAGATAAATAATCACGTCTTTTGACGAGATTTAATGAACCACAGGTGTTTCTCTGTGGAGGAAAGGTCAGAGGTCATGGACTGCAACCCGCTCTCTCACTGCAGCGATGCTGCTGTGGCCGGATCGTCTGTTTGGGACCAGATGTGCTTCACAGAGCTGTGGAGGCGGCTCCTTCCATCCAGTGGACACGTTGAAAATAGCTGTCGGCCTCATTCTGGCGCCTGATGACGCTGTTCAGAGGCTCATCGGGGGTTTGTAAATGGCCAGTGTCACAGCGCGGCCTCACAACTTTGTTCGTTTCATGAAAAGTGTCACTGTTACAGGACTCCAGGGCTTTATTCTTACAGCTCGTGTGGTCTCTTATAACACAGGTACAGAGACAGACAGAGCTGAGGACTGACGTACAGGACGTCCATCTTCATGCTTTGTCACATGTGATTTTGAATGGATGAGTTTGTCTTTGATGGTGGAAGCAGCCGGCAGCTCTTAGAGGAAGCGTGCACCGATGAGGCTTTGGGGTCGGCGTTGCCTCCATGAGCAGCTCCAGCATATCGCTGAGGTTGATGGTGCAACCAGGAGAAAAATGTAAACATGAAGACGCACAAACCTGTTTGTGTCACCGTGTTTGATTACAGACCCGCAAATACAACTGTTATTACTCAACACGCGGTGCACTGTTAGCACTGGACATGCCAAGGCATCCTTTTACACTCGTGTGTGTTACGGAGCTGAACTGAGCAGAGTCAGTCTGCTCGTCCAAGCAAACGTGGACGGTGGATGAGGACAAGACAACAACCGTCCTGTTCTGAGTTTGTTGCTGCTGAGGCTGCTGTGACATCAGTGTCTGCTTCACACTGTGCGTTGTGTTTGTGTGTTTTTAGCTTCACATTTCTTGAGCGTGGTGGTTAGTTGTCTGGTCCTGAGAACATCTGTAATAACCTTCTTTTCCAGCTGTTTCTGTCAGATGATGCACGTCCGCCTCGTTTAGCGCTGTGAAAAGCGAAGAATAGACTCGCCGCACACGCTCTGCACCAACGGCTGCGTCACGCTTGTGTTTGACGTGCCAGAGCTCACATTTCCTCGTTTCCCAGGAGGGAGGTGCTGTTTGTGTAAACGCCGGTCTGAAAAAGGCTCACACAAATATGGTCTCTCTTTGTTTTTCAGATCACCAGAAGTTGGAGCGCGAGGCCAGGATCTGCCGCCTGCTGAAGCACTCCAACATCGGTAACTAGAGCTCCTGCTTCACTGAGGACATTACAGTTTTATTTATTTCTGTCGACAGTGAACATGAAAGGTCAGCCTTTAAAGGCTGCCCGTGACGTCACATAGCGGCTCTGCCAGGATATTCGCCCGTGCAGCAGCTCTCCTCAATAACTTCATTACTTCAGTCAAATCAGAAGAGCTGAGTCTTAATCTTAGGGTTAGGGCTGCCACAGCTCTCCTGGCTTCTTTGCTCTGTTGAGTCCTCAGAACGAGTGCAAGAGCACACCCCCACTGCCTCATTCCCAAACTACCCACTGCAGACTCACCCGTCCCTTATTGCAGCACAAGCACAAGGATACTTTCCCTCTGAGCCACAAAGACCTGCAATTATCACCTCAGCAATGACTTTGTGGAAACTGTCATTTGTTTTTCAGTCCTTCTAGTGAAAAAAGAAAGGGACGGGGGAAGTGACAAATGAGGGGATGATGGGGGTTATTTGGTTTGCTGGTCTATTGTGAGCTTGTCTGAATCGGACTAAGCAACACGTGAAATTGGAGGGTTTAGTGTGAAAGTGATGGGGTTTGTGTCCCTGCTCACAGCACGAAACCAGGCTGACTTCATTCTGCTTTAACGTGGTTTAGTGTCGCACAGACGTGCTGGCTGAACTTACAGGTTACAGAAGAATGCTGCTGTATCTATGTAATGTGCTCTGTTGTGTCAATAACATGAGCTCAGCTCTTAGTCATTTATACGATGTCTAAATCGTGTCTGGACACTAAATATATGTAACACAGATGAACGGGAATAAAAAGACTAATTTATCTATGAGCAGTTATTTTAGAGATCGTGCTGTTAGATTTACAATGTGTCCATATTTGTTTGATCTTTAGCAAACAAAAGGCAGCTGATTAAGATCAAGTTTGAACAGGTAACCGTACACTTGGCACGCCTCTTACCAGTATCGTCCCAGCAGCATCCAGCTCCACTGCAAGCTCATTGCAGTGACGGATCTCTGATGTCGGCCATGAGAGGAGCTGATGGAAATGCCAAAGATCCCCACAGCGAGAGCGTTCCCTTTGGTCTCTTCATCCACTCGTATGTTGGACTGTCTGAGCTTTCGTGAGCGCTGCTGTTAGAGGAGTCTTTGATAAAGTCCATTATTGGTCACAGCAAACGTGTCTTACATGTGGAGCATGAAACCAGCATGTGACCTGTTGTTTGCCGAGTTCAAGCCCAACATCAATCAGGCAGAATTAGACGTGAAGAGTTCTCGATGTGTTTTCAGAGTAATGAATAAATCGTCTGCAGTTACTTGTAAAGTCTGTTTCCACAGGTCCACAGGTAAAATGAACTGTTTAAATTGCTGCTGCAGATCTCTGCACACGTGCAGATCTGAAGTAGAAAAACGCCGTCCTCATCAGCTGCTGGTCACGTGGTGCCGGGGCAACAATGAAAACGTAATTTTCCCCTCCTTCTCCCACAGTGCGGCTGCACGACAGCATATCAGAGGAAGGATTCCACTATCTGGTCTTTGACTTGTAAGTGCTGCCTTTGATTGTTACATGTTCCACTAATGCACCACGAAACACGTGTGACTGCGCAGACCACACCCACATCTCACACAAGACGGGTAACCTCGCCGCTGTCCCATGCACCGCCGCGAGGCATCTGGGGAGCATAAATGCAGCGTGTTGCTTTACTCTAGGGCTGGGCGATATGACCCACAATTCATATCTCGATATCTTTTAGCTGGATGGCGATATACGATATATATCTCGATATTTTTTAAAGCCATAAAGTAAGAACGAACAGAGAGTTCTTAGTCACACTGTGTCCCAGATGTCACACGGGCACTTTTATTAACATACAGCACAGAGTTACATGAAGAAATTACTCAAAAATAAATTATCAGCATTTATTAAAATAATGCTCCATAAATAAAAGAAAACAATGTTGTTTTGTGCATAACAAAGAGCTCACAACTGTGCAGTCAAAATGTAAACTAACAGACGCTGAGCACAATAACAAAGATTTCACAGCTGCTCTGTTCCCAACTTGTACTGCGTGACTGAGCCTGGAGTTTGAAATCCACTTCAGGTGCCATTTATGGTCCTTATACACAGTAGGGTAATATTACGTCGAAGCACAGTACGTATCACTCCGCGAGGCTCAGCCGTAATGCTCCGACAACCCATCAAGCGGTGCAGCTCCGTAGCTTACCAAAGTCGTAAAACATTTTTGACAGATTGCTGAGCGCCGTGTTCCACCTAAGATCGGTTCGCGGCCATCAAGCACAACCAGAATTCATACATAAGGCGCGCTGTCAACGTTTGAGAAAATGAAAGGATTTTAGGCCGTGCACCACCTCTGGGCTGCATGGCGTTAGCGTGGTTAGCTCGTTAGCGTGGTTAGCTCGTTAACACGTTGACGCCGTCCAGCCCCACGCACGGGGCGAT